TCTCATCATATATAAGTATAACTTAACTATACTTAAACATGAAAACAATAAACAAAACCTAAAAATTCTTGAAGCTATATACATAAAACAGTTGAAACCTAACCTGAAAAAAATAAACTATGAAATCTCCACAAATATTCTTAAATGCCTATAATTGGTAACAGAGGCCATTGGCTTACACCAACGGCTTCCCATACTTAATACATCTCGTTTTCACTATCGCGTGGTCATGTGTGACGTCATGAGCTGTTGTGCGATTTTCGTTTCCAGCATCTTGTATGCACGAGTTTGTTGTTGCTTGGAAATCTTCCATGTAAACAGAAACAGGCTATCATCATTGAGTTGTCCATGTATTACTTAATATATTGTACTGTAATTGTCATCTTTGATAATGGCTTATGTAAGCCGAAAGCTTAGACTGGATTAAAAAATATGTATCAATATTGTGATTTTATCAGACGACATGAAAAGAATTTACATAAAATAAATAGACAACACTTACCTATATTATTTAATGAAACATGCATCAATATATATATATATATATATATATATATATATAGAGAGAGAGAGAGAGAGATAGATAGATAGATAGATAGATAGATAATATTAGTGGTAAATATATACATACATATGCAAAATATATAAATATATATACATAGATGCATACACATATATATATATTTTTTTTGAATAAAAAATTCCAAGAGGATAGAATCCAGACAGAACTCCATGTCCAGGACAGAGTAAGGATATTATAAAAAGGCTTAAACACTAATATTCCATGGTCATATTCTCTCACTTAAACCGTCTTCCACTCACCTCTCTAAAACTTCTCTCTTTTAAGTTTTAACCCCCCCCCCCGCCTTCTCTCGTCTGTTACCCCTCTCTTTAGCTCTAACATTCGTCCCACACTCTCATACTTACACTCTCTCTAAATTCTATTTTTATTTCCGGGGTTGTTTTTCTGGTTTTTTTTTTTTGAATTGGTAGGTCTGATGAACTGGATCGTATTTACGATTCCAATGGAATAAATTATGACCATGGAATATTAGTTTTTTAAGCCTTTTTATTATATATATATATATATATATATATATATATATATATATGAGCTCACCAGCTCAATAAAATCCATATGTCCATGTCTCTCCGCTTCTTTCTATCTCGTTCTGTCTCCAGAGATCGTTGGTTTTTACCATTACTAATCCGTCCTCCCCGATTATCTGATCCTCCTTAATCGGATCTATGCGTAATATCAGATTAGCAATCCAAAATCTTCACCGGTTCTTTAGCTAAACATAAAGCCCATGTGCAAGTCAAAGAAACAAGCACTTTTCTCTTCTTTTTATTTACATAAAAATTTAACGATGAAAACAATCTTTGAAAACGTCTGGCAGGGATTCTTTTATGAAGTGTTTGAAGAATTTAGTGAAATTCATTTCTTATCTTATATGAATTTGTTTTATATTTTATTTTTTTTACCACCCCTCACGCTCTCTCTCTCTCTCTCGCTCTACACACACATAAATATATATATATACATATATAATTATTAATTAAAAAAAAAATTATAACATAAATATGTTATAAAATTACTACAAAAATAGCCATTTTGTTTCAACACCCTCAATTTTTTTTTAAATAAATAATTATATCTGCTCTACCTTGTATTGAGCACTCTTTTAAGAATAGTATTTGTTGGTTATTGGAATTCATTCCATATATACCAATCTTATTCTTGGGTATATATATATATATATATCGCTATATATATATCTATATACATACATACATATATATATCGCTATATATATGTCTATATATATATATATATATATATATATATATAATATATATATATATATAGAGAGAGAGAGAGTGATATGCATATATGTATATGTATGTATATATATATATATGTATGTATCTATATATATGTATGTGTATATATATATATATATATGTATGTATCTATATATATATAGATAGAGAGCGATAGATATATACATATATAGATATATATATATATATATATATACAAATATTGGTCTTTACTAAATTATATATATATAACGCACATATATATATATCTATACACACACAGACACACAACCACACACACACACACACACACACACACATATATATATATATATATATATATATATATATATATATCTCGCTACACTGAAATAGAATTACAATTGCGACACCGAAATAGAACTACAATTACGTATATATGTATATGGATGTGTATGTGCGCCTAAACTCGGATTGTCATCCCAAAAGGACACAGACTTGAATTCTCCCCTACTGAAAATTTTGTGCCGTTTGATTTAAATGAAACTTAAATTTGAACAAGGGGATGACTTCTATCCAAAATATAAAAGGAGAAAGCCAGAAGATGGAGGTCACATCGTTAAGATCAAAATGAGACGTCAAGTTGAGCAAGAAATCACCAATCTGTGGGTAGTGTCTTAAATACATATTTATTGGTGACAATTTAACTGTCATATTAATGTTGAAATCTGTTCTTCAATTCATTCTATCAAGTATTACATCCAATACATATCGAAGGGGTCAGATCAAGCTGTTTTTGCACAAACACCCCAGTGAATTTTCCCCTTTAATTTAAATTAATTTAAATTTGAACAAGGGAATGAAATGAAAATATAGAAGGAGAAATCCAGAAGATGGAGGCCACATCGACAAGATCATTGAGTAAAACTGAAATGAATCATTTTTCTCCACAAATTATAACAACAATTTAAAATCAATCTTCTTTTTCTTATAAAAATCGTGTGAGAAGCAGCAAGGCGCGGGTATTTCGTCTAATATCCATATATATATATATATATATATATATATATATATATATATATATATATATATATATGTGTGTGTGTGTGTGTGTGTGACAAAAACTTGATAACTTGAATGGATAATCCCAAGGAAGATGAAATCCTGAGAGCTCAATATTAAGTCAGAGCGAATAATTTAATTTAAAGAAAAAAAAAGCATACCAATTTAAGACTTCATTAGTAATAATTTATTTCACCAGAGAATTTTATTTTTCTCTGGATCTGCAGACTTCCCTCTCAAAGTAGAAAAGAAAAATGAATTTAAAATTTACACTTTTGAAAGGCAGTATTAAGCTTATATAAGTTGAATTAAAGGATGGTGAGGAATAGTGTGAGAGACATGCCCGAGTTTAGAGAAGAAAGGAAGAGTTTTAAAATTTATTTTTGCTTTTATTTAATATTGAGGAGGAGTCAACTCCCGGAATATATATATATATATATATATATATATATATATATATATATATATATATATATCACCTTTTTTCTCAGCTATGGGTAAATGGCAGGACAGACTGGGTTTTATAGCCTTGGATGGCAACTGGTCTAGGAGAAGGACAACTCTGAATTCCAAACCTGCGGAGGGTCGTTTTGGGGACCTTGTGGCACTTTGTGTACCAGGTCTCTGTATTCGGCCCTTCAAAAACTGTGGATGGTCCTGCACGAAACCTTCACCACTATAATCAAATCTTATGTGTTGTTGTCGGGCTGTCGGTTTCCTGGGAACTGATCTGCTTGACCCTCATACGTCGAATTCGATGGGAGAGTCGAGAGTAAAATATATATATATATACATATATATATATATATATAATCTATACAAGTATTATGCTTATTAGTATGTATGGTTTTGTGTCATTTTTATCATTTTTATCAGAATTTCGTGTTGCTTGATAGAATACTGGCTGCAGCCGTTTCTTGTATATTTGAGATTGTGTTCCCTAGTTCTTCAGCCAGGGATTTCATCCTAAAACCGTATCATTATCTTTATGTCCAAATAGATCGTAATAATTCAGTTCAAAGGTACTGCTGTAAACTGGGTTAGTAGGGCATGATCTTATTGTTACATTGTACTCTAGTGCCAATTAAGTACGACGTAAATGTGGAGGTGTTTAATTAACTTCCTATACAAACTCTCCACTTGGGACGTTCTAAAAGCCCCGAGTACTAATCTGAGGCCTTGATGATAGGTTGCATTGAAAAGTTTTAGGTACGACTTTCTGGCCGCCTCATATATGAAACTAGCGAAATCAATTTTCGAGAGAAGTAGTGATGTTTATAATTTGATTATTGTTAGTCGATCTGCTCGCCATTCAGTATGGACCACTACACGCAGAAGTTTGTAGGATTTTAAGGTGTTGTTTTGGTTTTCATTTTGGAAAACGTAAACCCATTTTCTGTGGCCCATTTGTGAATTTTATTGAGACATTGTTGGAGTTTTCTTTTACTGCTAATTCATATGTGGTATTCGTGTACGTTGGAATAATGGATAGCGACTCGGATCGAGGAATCGGAGAGCGGAGTTCGAATTCCAGTCGAATTGATTACATTCACTTACGTGCTAAAACCCTTGGGAAAGGTATGAATCCTCCTCTCCTCTCAGCTATGGGTAAATAGCAGAGCAGACCGGGTTCTATAGTCTTGGATGACAACTGCTCTTCCGCAAAAAGAAATGGCAAATTACTGCAAGAAAAATTCTGCCCCCCTTCAGTCACGTATCGAAAGATACATGATCGCCTAATCGTGTATCACGCATGGCAGAAAACTGACTGAAATTGACTTCCGTGCTAATACTCTTGGGAAAGGTATGAATCATCTTCTCCCACCAGCTATAGTTAAATATCAGGACAGACTGGGTACTATAGCCTTGGATGGTAATTGGTTTAGCGTAGAAAGAAATGGTAAACTATTGCGGGAAAAAAAATCTGCCCCTTTCAGTCATGTATCGAAAGATACATGATCGCCTAAGCGTGTATCACGCATGACACATAACTGGCAGAAATTGACTTCCGTGCTAATACCCTTGGTATGAATGCTATTCTTCTCCCACCAACTACGGATAAATAGCAGGACAGACCGGGTTCTATAGCCTTGGATCGCAACTGCTTTTCTGTAGAAAGAAATGGCAAACTACTG